TCGAATATTTTGCTAATTTACACACGCAACGAGTTATCCATCCTTTTCATATGGAGATAGTAATTGAATTAAAAGGAATTTGGATGGAGAACTCCATGATTACAAAAAGTTAAAAGGTGATAATATTTGAGTTAGGGGGACAAAATCTTTGAGTTTGTGGAAGATCTCTCATGTCCTCTTTTTGTACCTTTGCTTTAAGGTCAAGCAAAGGATGGAGAAATGATCACGATGTGTGATATATTTAGAAAAATTCAATTAAAACAAATCACACCGTAGTATAAGGGTCGTTTGGTATCACTTATACTTTTTGGAGAAGAGTTTCATGAATAAATTATTTTAATTTTATTTGAAAACTAATTTCTAAAAGAATTTTATATTCCGAAAATACTTTTAAAGAAAATTACATTGAATCAGTTTCATTCAAAAAAAATTATAACTAGAGAAACCACTTCTATAAAATTAGGCAAATGGATCTAAAGCATTTTTGGATCTAAGGTTTCTTTTGACTTCTCAAAAGTCATATCAAAAAGATCCTAGATATACATATAATAACAAATTGAGTTTTGTTATCAATGCATTTGAGGGGTGAGGGCAACTCCATGAATTTAATCTTTCATAGCTTTGTGCAATTGCTCTATCTATTATAAAGTTCAAAATAAATCGATTCTTAACAATCATGACATGTTTTGTTATTTTTAGCGTAACGACACTTCTTTATAAAACAAGATTGAGAAATGTAAATGCATTTCATAAGGCGAGTTTGTCACTTTTATTCATTTACCCAAGAAGAAAAGATTATCATAATAAATCCCTTGAGTCCTCTATAAGAGAATTCCAAGAATAAAGAAGTAGTTATGAATATCTAGAATCGTATTATTTTATAAGAACTAGATTAGATAAGCCATCTTGTTTGATCACGACCAATCCAAAATTCGATTTCGTTACATTAAAAAATAATAATTAAACCATATTAAAAGAGTGCCACCAAATAATTGTTGAATTTAAGCTTTGTAATTTTGACCTGGTGACCTTTTTCTTTTTTGCTTATTATTGTTGCTGTTGTTTATCATAAAGAGAGCACATGAAATTGTGTTTAAAGTAAAACCCCTTAGAATTTTCTTATTTCTTCCACTCTTTTTCCCTTCTGCTAAACAGCTGTAAAGCTGTCACGCCAGCAAAAGTTGTATCTCTCTCCCCAAATTCTCACCTTCTCAATATTTCTTTTGACTTGGGAATGGAAGAGCAATTCTATTCAATTCTTAAAAACTTGGTGCTGGAAAAACTTGTTAGGAGTGGACAAAATGATCAAAACGAAACTAATCGAGCGATTCTATTCAATTCTTAAAAAAATTAATGATTTTGATTCCTAGAACCAAGAACCATTTGGCTCAATTTTGTCTGTAACTCAGTTAGTGAATCATTGTTATCAAACTGTGTTTTAATGGAACTTGATGTTTGTGTATTCAAATTATGATTATATTTTGTCTATTAGTTTGAACTTTTATGAATGCATTTTATTTGAAAATTTAAGTAAAGGAACCAGATGTAAACTAAGTTAAGGCCATGTTTGACCCACATTCTTTCAAAAAAACATATTCTTAAACAGTGATTTGATATTATTTCAATCACACATTTTTCAATAAAATAATATTACATGCAAATCCAAAATTTTTCTTTATTTGTTAACCACACATTTTCCATCAATGCACTATTCAAAAATGCATTTATTATGGAAATAATGTGGCTCAAATAAGGGCTAAATCAAATCAAACCAAAAATCGGATCCAATGTTTGGTTCCATATTTTAACAAAAAAATAAATTATTGGTTCGTGATTCGGTTTGATTCTCTTGAAAACCACAATCAAATGAAACTATATCCACCCCAAGTACTCACGATAAAAGAAGAGATACATGTGATAGAATGAAGTCTTTATCTATGAGATGGTGGACCGATCGAATCTTTCGACGAAATTGCAATGGGATTTCCTTAATCCTCAATTTTCCAGAGGGAGAGCACTATTTTTTGTTCGTTTTGCTAGACTATGTTTAATTATGAACAATTTGAGATATATGTCATCAAGAATTATATATTAACTACATATTTCCTTTTTGGAATTGCGAGCAGAATAATGCTATAAGTATATAATTTTTTTTTACAAAAATCATATGAATCAACACTTTATTATTGGAAGATGACAAAAATATAAAAGAAAAGCAGCTATATAGGTGTTGTGTTACAGATTTTGTTTTTTTCCTGTACTTGCAGAATTATTATTGCGAGCATGCATTCAGTTGTTGTAGCTTATAAATAATTCAACTTATTGTATTTTTTTTGTTAATAATCAACATTTCATTTTTCTTAACATCAAGGCAAAATTTACAACAATTCGTTTACTTCGCCAATGAAATCTGCCATATTGTAACAAGTGGGCATCTAAACCTTGATTTGGTCTATTTGGATTAAATTTTATTTTTAATTATACTTTTAGTCCGACCCATAAGTCCTATCTGTTTATCCATCACTCATCGTTATCTATTAAAGTAAATAGTTTATAGATTCTTCACAAATGAAGGCTAAACAGGGGACAAAATATAGTGCTATATAACAATTAATAGGTTCTAATTATTGTGCATTAGGAAGACTATGATTGCGGAGAAAAATGAGGAATCTCTTGTGACATGTCAATGCAATTGGTTTAGGAAATATTTTATGCATGTTTGGTACAACTTTTCTCAAAAAATAAGCTGTGTATTTTATCAAATGTGTGAATAGAGTTATATAGGTCTTGCAGAATGTGTAAATATTAAATAAAATAGTATTTAATCAGCTTATAAGTTGAAAAAGTCTATACTAAAGATACGATGATATTCTCATAAATGAAGTGCCAAAACAATAATATTATCGAACATTTCTCTCGTGCTTTTTATTCGATGTAATTTAAGTAAGGTGAGTTAAGTGAGTCGTAATGAGCCTGGTATGAAAAGATTTTCGTAAGTTAACATAACTCACAAGCTCATTCCATGTCAAACTATGTCGGGTCGGTTCAAATGAACCAAATTGACCTTCCAATGGAAAGTAGAGAAGGAAGCCACAAATCTCTGAAAGGAACTCGACAACCTAGTTTTAATCATTTAGCGGACAAAAAACCAATTACTATTTTGTTTCAAAGTGCTCGCATGGGCAGTACCATCACCATATCTGCAAGTGGATCAGACAATTACCTCATAAATGATAAATCTGTCTATTTTCTTTCCTACATTGCAATGCACACTCTCCCCGTGAGTCGAATTATTGTATAGTTAATGCTGGCTTATGAGACACATTCGGCATCCTACGAGATATCTCCCATCCCCCATCCCCTCACACATCTTAGAGAGAAGGGGGAAATGAAAACTTGTTGAAGCCTTAATAGAAATTAAAATTATAGAATAATTATTACGAAAGTTGAGATTGGAGTGCTATCTGTAAATGTTTAACCTTATTAAGATAAGTATAGTCTTTGATTGATGTGAGATATTAACCTTAACCTTTTATGTAAGATTGTGGTTCGCTCGTTTGAATATAATGGATTCTTATATTATATTCAGATTTAGATTTTCATATTAAAAAGTTAACTTTATTAAAAAGAGAATTAAGAAAACTTATATTTTGATTAATATTTTCATCTTTATTAGATATGAAATTATACTCTTTAACATGTTTCGTAAGATGATGGCTGACTTTGAAGGCTCATTTGAGCCTTGGACCGATTGCATTAATCATTGTTTGATATAGAATTCTACCCTTTAACATACCTCACAAAATGATGGTTTGTGAGCACAAGAACTATGAATGTTTGTTTGCCCTTGAGACCAATCGAATGCACGTTTTAAACTTAATGAATTATGATCAAGACTTGAGATTCCATCTTTAAAACTCAACTTGGTATTTTGAGTTAACAGGTTGAACTAAATGAACCCACTAGTTTAAAATTATATTTGAAGTCTAGAATCACAACTTTCGAAAAATACGAACTTTAGGCTGGCCAAATTCGATTTCATCCATAACAATTCCCAAAATATATTGACAAACCTCCCTAGACAACAATGCAACTGGAGGAATAAAGGCTTCATTTTGCAATATACAACCCCTCTTTATGGTAGAAGGTTCATGCATTAATGTCTGACATCTTCAACGCACAGATGAGACTCCCGACTGTTCTGCCCAGAACAGTAAAAACATTGTTTCCAATATCTCCATGGTAGGACCTTATTTAATTAGCCCTTGTGCCCACAAATTGTATCCTACACACATACATATACATTTACGGGCGCAGAGAGAGAGAGAGAGAGAGGCCAGTGTTACTGGGAATTGTGGTCCAAGTTTTTAGATGGGGTGTCATATTACAGAATGCACTGTTTCTGGTTGTTTAGGGGTTAAAATTTATGGCTGCTTAGCCGTTGCAGGTTTCCTTTTCGACTCCCTTAATCAAGAGAATGTATTTAGTGGTCAGGCTGTGTACCAAAACAGTGAAACTTGGCAGCCATATGGACCCATATTTGTGAGATTTGGGCATCTATTGAACAGGCTAAAGAGCCTCTTTTCTTAAGCTGCTTATATTAACTAAGTAGATTTTTTGAGCGTAGAAAAACTCGGGCCTTTAGAGTTCAACCATCCGGATACAAATTAGTCCAATGCAAAAGAATAGCTGGTACCCAACTTTTCGCTGAGTTTTGACCAAAATTTCCTTAACCCAAGGTATGGCTGAGTTGTCGGCTCATTCTTCAATAGGCACACGGTCATAACCGAACCTTTAACCGGTTAAATCAAGATATAGGTGTGTGTTGGTGTGGATTTCTAAGCAGTAATTTGTATCCAAGCCAAGATCATCCAGCTAATAAGTACAACAAACAAAGAATGTATCAGCTATCAAAAGTTTCTTGATTGAAGCTCCCCTGCTTGTACGCTTCTTTCAACAACATTTGGATGTATAAGTGAGAAATGAGTTCCAAAACAAAATGGAGAAGAACTACAACATATCTAGCATTCTGAAAACGGCTCATAACCCGATTATCCGTCAATAATACCTAAATAGACGTCAAGTGAGAGAGAGCACATTACTTTCAGGACGTTACATGGATCAAGCTATTCTAGAATAAGTTCACCTCTTACACAAGCATTTTGCATTTGCATTAGCAAAATAATTCAGTTGTCCATGGAAACTTGAACTAATTACATAAAAAGATGATCATTCATAGCCATAATAAGTTCTAAAGTAAAATTTGATCTGGTCTCAGTAATCATCCCCCACGCATGTGTGCACCCAATTCTCCGAACTGTTCATCAGCTTCCACAGTATCAGCTGACAAGCGAACTGCATCCAACTTCTGCTTCAGCACGTCTATTGCATTGAGAACCAATTGAGAAGCTTTGATAGCGCCGGTAGACTCAACTGTAAAAATAAAACAATCTTCCTTTGCACGGATTTCCACGAGGCCTGGTTTGCCCATTGATTCAGCTTTCTTAATCACCTCTTCATCATATGTATATGCCTCGGCATCATGAATCAGAACCTTCAAAGAGAAAAAGAAAAATGAAATTAGCATTAAAAATGAAAAAGAGAAATTATTAAGCCCTTGTTTGATCCCCATTATTTCCAAAATACACTTTTCTATCTCTTCTTTTCAATCACACATTCTTCAATAAAATAATATTACATGCAAATTCAAGTTTTTTTTCTCATTTTTCAACCATAAATTCTCAATTAATATACTATTTCAAAATGTATTCTTACAATACAATGGGGTTCAAACAGACTCTAAATACTAATATCTCAAACAACATAATATTCTAAGAGTATGTGCCCAAAGACCAAAGCATTTGCTGAGAAGTCATTTTATGACATACAAGATGAATACAAGTGATGGAAGGACCATGAAATTGTATCAAAGGCCTCTTAGTTGAAACTTGGTTCATTCTTGTTGCATAACATGAAGAGACACTAATATGATTGTGCTGAGTCAGAAATAACAAGAACCTCAAGATTGTATGAACAATCATCTACTGCAATAAATTCCACTGGCATCGACATATCCATTCTTCTAAATTCAAATATCACAAACCTATCTACTTTATTAAATTCTTATAAAAAATTCCTTGGTACTAATGACTCATTGTACACAAGACAACACATCAAATACACACCACTTACAAGACAAACACATCAAACTATAATAAGTAGCTAAAACGGTTGGCCTTGAGCCAAGAAACCAAATGGTGCTGCATAGAAACAAACAAGCAGTGGTTACAAGTCCAAGGAAACATTTGATGAATGCTCGTAACTCCTCCAAAAACTTGGCTATATGGGATGTCCCAAGGAACCTGTGAAATGCAGTATATAATGTGAATTAAGTGTGTAAAAAAATCATCTGAATGACATTTCAAAAGATCAAACATAACCACACAACATCTCATCATACAATATAATTTTTGATCCTAACAGAGAATGAGATTTGTGATCAACCTGATTCGTATTCTCATCAAATTTGAACACTGGGGTAGGACTGCTTTCAACAAACTCCCTTTTCTCATCAGGAGTCAAGCTCTCCATTAACTCTTCATTGATATAAATGTCTGGTTCATACATGAAAGTGACGGTTGCTGCAGGTGACCATTTAGCATGATCTTTACCAATTCCCTTCCTAGCTATGGCTCTTAGAATCAGCTCCTGACCGCGGCGTAGCTTCACAATTATGATTCCCCTATAAACAGACATAAATCATCAAAGGATTCATTTCCCTAACATAGTAAAGTTGATTCCCCTATACAAGTACATAAATCATCGGAGGATTCATTTCCCTAACATAGTATAGTTGATGATGATCATATATAAAAGATCAACAAAATGTTTGTTACTCTATAAATAAAACGACACAACTTGCCACGAGTCTGGCAAATGAGGCTTCCACATCATTACATATTAAAGCTGACAAATGGAATAACCTCTAAAGATCAATAGTTTGACACCACGCACAAGGTCAGAGAATAGGATCAGTTCTTGAATTGCACTTAAAAAACCATTGCAGAACACTTTGAAAGAAATTTGATATATCTTAACCCTGATAATTCCCTGATAAAAGCATTGTGAACACACAAAGCAAAATGTATTTCTGGACTTTTGGCATCAAGTTTTTATAAACCAAAACCATAGCAGAACACTTTGAAAGAAATTTGATATATCTTAACCCTGATAATTCCCTGATAAAAGCATTGTGAACACACAAAGCAAAATGTGTTTCTGGACTTTTGGCATCAAGTTTTTATAAACCCTATACACACAGACAGTTCATGGCAATAGGCAATAGGCATCAAGGTTGAACCATCAAATCTCCCCTTCTAAATCTCTCTAATCTTGTGTCTTTTAATGGAAGGGGAATCCAAAAGTAATCTAATTTCAAATTCATAATTCATAACTAAATCATTAATGGTAAATATTTCAAAAACTCCATATCTAGAGAGCGGATATGGAAAAGCGCAATTTTTTAAGTTTCTTAAAAGGCCTCATTCTAACTTAAAGATGAAAAAAGAAAATGTCAAGTATGCCCTTATTTAAAAAGGTATTTAAAAAGGTTCCCTCCAACAAAGTGTTTTTTAGGTTTCCTATCTGGATTTTCATGATTACTCCCCTCATTTTTCGAATTGTAGCACAACATTGTTTGTAAACAGTGTCTCGGTCGGATGATGAAGAAAAGAAAGAAATTAAATACACACCCACATTGTTGATCATCAAACAAATTTTAAATGTGCATTGTCTCACACTATTGCAATCACCCAAATCTAAACATTTACTGTTGAAAATTTCTTGTGAAAGGATAATTCGACCCCCATAAAATTCAACATACAGGATATATGTTATTGAGTTAACTTGACAGGGTAATATTCTGGGACAACTCCCCTACCTTATTAACTCGGCAAGGTCAAGTTCACTTGAGCCATGTGTCGAAATCTAAGAAATAGAAAATTTCCTGTCTTCAATTCGACCAAAGAATTGTTTTAGATGGCCTTTTTTCATTTTCTATCGCTCTTGATCAGTTCTTGATAAAATCCACATCTTTTAACACTATATTACTTTCAATAGCCTACTTTAAACACAAAAATATACATGTCACTGACAGCATTTCGCGATCCCACCAGCAATAAATATTGTTTAGATATCTTCCAAGATATTAATGGAGTATTTAATCCACCGAAGGCTTCGGGGGTTTATTTATTCTTCTTCGGTATCAATATTGGTTGGGTTGTAGGATTGGCTACAAGAAAAAAAAATCTTATTTCCAATTGGGATCGGGTACATAAATCCTTTCTCACCATTCCATCCAATTTACCACTGATTCTATAGAATTTTTATTAACTGGAGCATGTTCACGACTCGCACATATTCTGCCCAATAGATATAACAGGACTTTCGTCTTCACACTTTCCCTCTTTTATCCTCAACTTAATAGTCTTCCATTCTTTCAAAATAAGTTAACCTAGACTCTTCAATCTCTTTCAATTTTTTGTTACCTTTAATTTGCATATTTTCCTAGCAAAAACCTTTCTCCAAAAAATCACAACACAACTTCACTATGTTCTTTGATATTCCCAAAAAGAAATAGGAAATTGTATGCAACCCCTACAAGCCCCAATACTTATGCAAAGATCTTTAAAAAAAATTAAATTTAAATTTAAGAAAAAAAGCCCCATTTGGTAGCAATTTTTCACCCACAAAAATTTAATTTTTCCACCATTATTTCGCTGTTCCAGTGGTCATTTTTGACCTCATCACTCTTTCTGGGTCAAAAAAATCAATTTTTAAAATCACTACCGAACCGAACGTACCCTAAAAATCATGCCTTCAAACGCATAATTACTCTCATTCACCGCCCTAACCAAATGCATTTACATAAAATTCGAAAATTCAACATATTTAACACAAACACGGAGTGGTAGAAAGAAAAGTATTACTTATTCTCCGAGTTGTCAAAGCCAGAAGACGAATCCGAAAAATCAACAGGAACAACCGTGTGGTCAGAGCTATACAAATCCTTAGAAGTGACATCAAGTGTCTGATCATTAATACACTTTGCCCTCAGATGAAACTCCACAGAGCAGTACTCACATTGACCATCTCCATCACAGGCATCACAGTCACGTGAAAACCTCATCCCCATGGCGCGCTCACTGGTAAGCGGAATGAGCCCTAGGCGGTGGGCAATAAATTCGTCGTTAAGCACTGAGGAATTCACCTCGATTTCCACCAAATCGATAGCGATTGTCGGCACCTCCGCAATCATCACGCGCCGTAGCGCGTTGGCGATACTTGAGTCCGTCTCCCGCAGCTCGAATTTCATGAAATCATCCCTAACCTCCCGGATTTTGATCTTTGGGAATCTCTGGTATGATACGCCTTCCATTTACGGGCTTCACTTTCTTTCTAAAACGAAGGGGAGAATAACTGCGCGAGTGTTTTCTCTAAACCCTCTGCAAACTATTTTACTGTGGATTCTCGTGTTGCACTTTGCAATACTGGTCCCCAATCTATAGACATTAGTATAAGTTAGTCCCCAAACTATGTTCTTCGCGGTGTCACTCCTGACCTATTTGTTTGTGAATGCATTTTATGACATTTTGACAATTAAATAAACACTTGGCTAATATAGGTAAAATTGAGAAACTAAATCTAACAATTAATCTAAGGAAAATCATGAAACGATATAATTCCAACTACGACATCAATTAAAAATAAATCGAAGAAATAACAACTTAAATGGAATATATTTTAAGTCAACCTAAAAAAAAACTATCTTTCATAAGGGGTGTCTTTCTCTTGCCTACTAGAGAAAGTAAACCTCATAAACAAAAATCGAGAAATGGTGGATATAAACAACTACATTATAAAGATTGAATCGTTGTTTTCTAAGACACATATTTTGCAAGATTTCAACACCATCGGTGAGAAAAATACAAATCGAAACCCTTGAATCCTACATCAAGAAAGAGATAAGTAGCCAAGACTTGAGAGTGTAATTAATATGAACCTAGTGATAAATGGCTCAATGGATGATATATAAGGTCCATACCCTAGGTTAGTCCATTGCACTTTAGAGGTGCGCCTAAATAAGGTTGGCCCGTGCGATTGAACCTACATCGTAATTTTGTAGGATTCATTTTGCACACTTGCACAATTTTCAGAGTTTAGGTGTCACCAATTGAAGATAAAGTACATTTTAGACTTTTATTAAACTCTAATTTATGGTGTGATCTAGGGTTGTCAACGAACCGAGTCGAGCCGGCTCGCGAGTCGAAACTTGAGGCTCGAGCTTGGCTCGGTTAAAATTGTCGAGCCTTTTTTCGGGCCCTAGCCGGCCCGAGCAAAAGCTCGCCCAAAAATTTTAGGACTTCATTTGAATACGAGCTAGAAAATTCTTATTCATGATGCAATCTCTGAAGTAGAAGCGGGAGAAAAGAGAAAAGGAAATCTGGCAATGGATCCAATGGAAAACGAGAAATATTTGATGTTACCAACTACATTAGACTCTGTTGTTTATTGTCGTAGAAGATACAAATTATGCCTAAAATTTCTACATTAACAACGATAAAATATGAAGCAGTGTTTATTAATTCCATGTCAAGAATAATAAACGATTTTTTGGCGAGTGCAATAAATACGAACCTAATGGTGAAGAAAACATCCATACCTCTACGTCATAATTTGTTGTACATTGGTATTTACGTTCACGGCCCTTGCACAATTCCAAGTCCAAATCCTTTTAGTGAAAAAAACGTTAATGAGCTGATGTGACATGTATCTTCTGTAACTGTCATTCACGATACAATCTATGGGCTAATAGAGGGAAAGAGAGAAAAAAACTAAATCTAATGTAAGTCTAACGAAATCGAGAAATGGTCTATTTAACTGTTGGAAACAATGGGATTGGAGAAGAGACAAAAGAAGATTGCAAAATACAGCAACAGAATAAATTGAAACAAAAAACTTGATAAGAACGAATTTGAAGGCTTGAACACGATATCGTTAACGATACTTGCCCTTTCTCGGAATTGAATGAGATGCTTAAAGGTACTTTGACAAATGATTTGAATGATTATAACAAGTCTTGTAAAGGATTTAGCACTAAAGTACATGTGCAATCCTCCAAAACCTTTTAAGAGCACAAATGAAGATATTCAATTTGGATGAAGAAGATTTTGATTTCTTTATTTCGGAATAAAAATTATGATCACAAATGTAATGAAGTGTTTTTTCTCAATATTTAGAATGAAAAAACAACCACCTATTTATAGCCATGAAACATTACTACACTAAGTGGTGCCAAAGTGTAAGTGAAAGGCAACCAAATTTGAATCAAAGATTGCCTCCAACAACTAATTTTATACTGTATGTGGTTGCACAGAATAAACCTATGCGACCGCATAGGTTCTTCCAATTTTATACCATACTCAATTTTTTTTTATTTTTTTTCAGATTCCACACTTGTTTCATATTGATTTTGAAAAATATTTCCATCATTAACTGTGTACATTATTAAGGTGATTGTTTGTATCATCATATAAGATATAGCTTTTGCAAGATTTCTAAAATAGTAATGAGAAATTTGTGATGTGGCATATCTTAATCCCACATCCAGAAAGAAACAAGGAGTCTAGGCTTGAGAATTACCTAGACATGGTCAATAGATGAAATATATACCCCACAACATAGGTTGGTAACTTCCATTTTACTTTAGAGGGTGCCCTCCAATGATCGGCCTAAGTAGTTGAGACTACTCTTAAATTGTCACGTTCGCACGGCCCTTGCAAAACTCTGAGTCCAAATCCTTATGGTGAAGGAAAAAAAATGTTATAATGACTTAGTTGGATTGTGTATTGCGTAGAATTGAAAGAAACTCGCATTCATGATGCGGCCTCCGGGCTAATAGAGAGAAATATAGAAAACTTCACAATACATCCAACGAAAAGTGAGAAATAATGAATGAAAAACGACTATAAGTTTTTTATTTTTTTTTTATTTTTTGAAAGGTAAATGGAAAACGACTACATTATTCTTGATGTTTATCAATAATATTGAGAGTGCAATTATTATGATATGAACCTAGTGGGTGAAGAGAACAAGCTTATAGAAATGCAAATAATGGGTGTGATTAATAAAGCTCATTGCGTAGGTTGGTGACTTTCATTTTACTTTGGAGGTTGCCAGAACAAGGTCATCCCAAAGAATCATGCTATGTTACCCGAATTTTTTTGATATAATGGCTTACTGATACTCATAATGGGAAGGGGCCCACTTCTTTTTGGACTTTTTTATTCACGCGGGACTCACGCGCATGTGAGAGGATGTCAACCATCATGTCAAAAAAATTTAGGCAAATTAGTTTAATTCCATCCCGAATGATCAAAGCATACACCATAACTTGTGCTAACCCTGCACAATTTTCAAAGTTGAGGTGACACAAACTGAAGATAACTTGAGAATAATGGTTCACATACGCATGGCCTAGATTGGCGACTTCCATTGCAGGTCACCCTCTTAAAGTTTGCCCGAACAATCAAGCCTGCATTGTAATTTCTGATAGAGCAGTTCTCCTCTGCATGGCCACTGCCCAATTCTCGGCTCAAATCCTTGTAGTGAAAAAAGTGAACAAGTTGAGGTTACACTAATTAAAGAAATAACAAGCCTATATAGTCCGGTCTCGTCCATAGTGAGGTCCAAATGTTATCTGTAAACCTTGTTTTGTATATGAAAATTTACCATCGCAGACTGATATGTTTTATAAGTTGCACCAAAACAGGACAAGGGGATAGAATTCGCCAATGAAATAAATGAAAATAAATAAATACAACGGAGGAAGACATATGCTAGACTAGAACTCCAATCAAAGGAATGACCGAGTACTTAAAAAATAGGCTTGGGTGAGATTTGATTTTAGCCGGTTTCAACTCCAATTTGAAATCAAAACCAAATTAATCGGTTTAGACGAATTTCAACCCAAACTAACATACCCTAACTCTTAAACCAAACCGAACCAAACCACGATTAGATTAGCCGATTTAGACTTTTAATTCAAATTGAATTCCTCCTTTTTTCTTTTTTTTTAATTAGAAAAATGTCCGAGTTTTGGACCCACTTAAATTACAAAAACTAAAATAACCGAATAATTTTATATTACAATAACTACTGACTAACAAACAAAATCAAATTAATAGATATGGATAAATATAAAACTTAAAAATTTTGTTGCTTTTTTTTTTTTTTTTTTATTTCTTACGTAATCTAATTGTCTGAGTAAGGAAAAATGACAGTGTTATTACTTACTGACAACATTATAGATTAGAAGGAATCGAAATATAATTATAAGAATAGGGCATGATTTTTTTTTTTAATAAATTAAAAAAAGGCGAACATGTAACTAGATTAAATTGATTCGGTTAATCAACAGTTTGAGATTTTAAACCTTGACTAAACCGACCCACGATATTTTTGTTTAAAAGAAAACTAAACTAAACCAATTACCTATGCCAAACTAATCCACGCCAACCTGAGTTAGTTCGATTTGATTGATTTGATTACTTTTTCAATTTTTTTGGTCTAGACGTAGTTAAAAGTTAATATTGTCGTTTAACATCATATACCAAATATGCTCAAATGACACATTTGACATGTTAAACCTCGAACAAACTAACAAACGTACATCCCACGCGTGTCCCTCTTCTTTGTCATGTCCAATTCTACGTGTCAAATATACAATAAATAATTTAATTATTTTGATCAGTGAGCTATTGCATCACTCTTTACCTTAATCTAGAGATTGAGCCCTTGAACATACTCGTAATTTCACTCACTAATTATATGAAATCTAAAATATTCACCCAATGGTATCCGTCCCCATAAAAGAAGTTGAATTGCAGCTAATAATTACAACTAACGTAGCTAGAACTAAAAAGAGAAGATAGAAAAGGCAGTGCAACTGTCATAAATATCAGTTCACTAAATATCTGCATGATCGCTTTCAATAAAAAAAAAAGGTAATTCTGCGAAAGATATTATGAAAAAACGAAAATCGGTATAAGATAGAAATGGGTTCTGGAACTCAGCGCTGTACAAGATAGAAAAGAGTTCAGGAGCTCAGCACTCGAACTTGACGCAGAACGCCAGATATCTAAATGTCTTCATCTTTTCCTACAGCAATTTCAAAAGCTTCTAAGTAAGTTGATCATATTGAAATTACGATAAAAATTACTCCTAAAATGATTAATATTTTTAATTACATGTTTGGCTAAAACTAACAAAATTTACTTACAAGTTTAACAAGTAAGTTTCAAAATAAATATTATTTTCACCGGTCGAAGTTGAAAATAACAAGTTTCTAAATTGATAACAAAGCAGTTATTTTAAAAAATTAGTAACTTTTTTACTATAACGTAAAAAGAGAAAGGAAAAAAACTAATATATCTAAACATGTTTTGAAATAAAAAAATAAAGTAGCCTTTACATTTTTGTACCTTAATCCCCCAACATGCTTAAACATAGTAATTTATTTAAACCGTTTGGAAATAAAAAGTTACACGAACACAACTTTTTACTATTTTTAAGCTTAGGCAAAGACAATACTAATGCAAATTCCGAAACTAAGAAGACAAATAAGTGAAACTATCTTTTATATCACTTACAATAACAAGAAGGGAGACATCACTTAATAAGGATGCATCTGATGGGTGATCCTTCAGCCCCAAGCAACCTCAGAGGTAAGCAGTGCACGGAGTATATCCCTGGCTGAGCATCATCAAGTTTCAGTCCCTCAACCAGGATGGTTTCCTGAAATATTTCAGAAATACCAGCATTTTTCATAAAGAAAAATTCGGCGAGAAACCTTTACTTCATCAATATTGTACAATTGCCATGACATATTTTGTAATGTGCAGAGTGAATTGTCCAAATGGTCACTGAACTTTACACGAAGTTTTCAGGAGGTCACTGAACTTTAAAAATCATCCCACTCATCACTAAACTTTCCAATTCGTAATACCATTCATCATTGAGTTTAAAATTTGGACGGGAAGTTGACTTGTCTGATGATGTGGCGTGCCAACTCATATGGTGATTGCCAAATGGATGTATTATTACAAAGATGGAATTTTTTAACAAATTTTTTTTCATAAAATTAAAAAACAAAAAACATAAAAAAAAAAAATCATACACCACCGATCCCTTCTCCCAAATTAAGTCAAATCTCCCTTCACCACTATAAGCCCCAAATCGCACGACCAAATCCCGATGGCGGCGGCCATCTCCAGCAAAATCCCCAAGAAACGCGACTCGAGCAAGCCATCACCACCAAGATCCCCAAATCCCAGCAACCAGATCCCAAATGAAAATGACCCAAATTGCAAGACCGAATTCCGTTGGCGGTGGCCATCCCCGACTAAATCCACATGAATGGCGAGTCGAGCAAGCCCTCACCACCAAGAACCCCAAATCCCAGCAACCCGATACCAAATGAAAACAACCCAAATCGCAGCTCGAGCTGAAATCTATATGCTTATACCCAGAATCTTCCTGCTTCAATTGGTTTCTATATGCTTCTGGGATTGATTGTAATATATTTTATATTGTAGTTGACGTTGCTTCACGTGGATGTGGATATGGGAAAATGCAGTGGCGATGGTGTGGATTGTGTAGTTAGTTGAGAGGAAATGCAGTGGCAGTGATGTGGGGGAAATGCAGTGGCGGTGGTGTCGATTGACGTTGCTTCTAGGAAGGCTCCATATCTCCGATCTTTCAGATTTCGGTGAAATGAGAGGGCATTGGTTAAAATGTAAAAGAAGGTACACATAAGATTAGG